CAAAAAGATTGGCTTGGAGGCTAGCTAAACTGGACACAATTGGCATCTTCATTACGCAAAGGAAAAACAAAAAAAAGTCCAAATATCGGTACCCGTTGGGGGGCTGCGTTCATTATGCCCATGCATTCATTATGTGTGTAAATACGGTATTAGAAAAGGAACCCAGTGTTAATTTTTATTGTCTCATTTACAGTTAAACCCCCCTATGTAAAACCCCTCGTGGGCATTTAAGGCTCAAATAAATCAATGAATGAATGAATAGTTGCATCATACAAAACGTGCAACGTCCATTAGCATTGTGCGATTCACCCTTATAAATTGTGCAAATCTTGTTAGAGTGCTACAAACTGTGGATACAAGCAATAAAACCCAGTTCCTTGATGTTGTCATCTACACTATTAATGCCCGATTTACGGGTGGACCAGAAGCGAGAGACAGAGAAGTGGAACACATGCAGTCCATCATACTCAAATGCATCAGGTAAGCTGGAGCAAGCGAGACCTATTACCTGTCTGGCGTTTTACAGCAGCCTCATGTTTTGGTTGCCAGGTGCTGCGACCCATTTGTGAGAAAAAATAACTCTACTACTTGTTTCAACAGTTCTGCCAGTCACAGTGCTGTCACAGCTTCAGTCCATAACAGCAAGTTTGCGGTTGTGCTCAACATTTGCACCATTGGGATCAAAATTGGACGGAGTCGCCAGCAGTGACGTCCCATATGATCGGCTTTAGGAAAGCCCACCGAAAAAGGCTCACTGAGAACAAACACCCCAACAGGCTGAGTAGTTCATTGTCCAACGGCTTTCCCAGGAAGTGCACGTTCACATTCACAAAAGGTTGAGACAACACAAAAAAAATGTAGCAAATAAAAAAAAATGCTGTTTTGTTTATTTACAGGTTAGTTACAGGACAAACAACACAAAGGAGGCCACAATCCTCCAAAATATACAATCAATGGTACTGGACACCAGAGATGCAAAGGAGACCCAGCTGCATTGTCAACTACAAACAATCCCTGATCTCGGGTACATTCAGCATTCTTTAATGCACAAGCTGCTACTCTGACCCCTAAGGCCACCTCCAAAAAGTCCTTGTTCACTTTCAAGGCTGTATGAGCATAACTGTCGGTCCAAGATGTCTTGGCAAACAGAAACGAGGACGATACAAGAGGCAGAACCGAGCGAAGGTTGAGAAAAGAACCGTTTGTCAGCACTTGGCCCTTTTCATCCTTTCACCATCAACTCTCACCCACTTGCCTAACTTTCCATTCTACAAAAATATCTTCCCCAAAAATACATTAAAGCTATTCTGCCTTTCAATGTTTGCATAGTATAATGCCGAAAACATGCGCTCATATTAAATTAGTAGCGATATACATACACCAAAATAAACTGAGAAGACAGACCTACACAGTGTAAATTAACCACAAAATAAAGTCGAATCTCGTTAATTCAAACTCAAGGCGGACCGAACATTTGTTTGAATAAAGCAAAGTTTGAATTACCGGGCGTTTCCTCCCATAGAGACGCATAGGATGGGACTTGCATGTTAGTTTGAATTATCCTCAAGTTTGATTTAAGAGAGTTTGAATTAACGAGATTCAACTGTACTGTTTTGAACGAGACACTCACACAAAAGGCATGAGAGAAGTGCACAATGAGATGCAGCGAAGCGTTTTAACCCTCTCGGCTACAAATGACCTGTCGATAACCCAACACTACAGTCGAACCCGGATATATCGAATTCAAAGGGGATTGTAAAATTGTTTGATATATCAATATTATATACAAAGGTATGTTAAATTAAGCTAGGGTTGAAATTTCCTGGCATCTCTGCTAATACTGAAGGTCGCGACAAACGGGAGCTTACCAAATAGAGCATCCAAGGGCCACTAAATATGGTAGAGCGTAGTTGGCGGAGACCGCAAACCCCGCCGTGCTCACACGCGCGCCTGGCAAGGAACTCCACACAGCATACATGACAAAACATGAAAATAATAAAAAAACAAAAAAAAATGGAAAAACAAGACGCGTAAAAAGATCTCTTGATCCATAGAAAAAGTTAAGCAACAAAAAAAAAGAAAGTGCAATTGCACAACCGTTGTCGCCACACTAGGCTTGCTGAAGACTTTCTTTTTTCCTATTGTATTTTATTTTGGGGCTAGGGAGTCGAACCGGCATTAGCAATGTTTGGCGAAACAGTGCAGACTACCATTCCAACAGAAAGCACTCCCTGCTCTCCCTACGCGCGCGCACGTGCCCTTCCCCTTGTTCTTGCTATCCTCCACTTTTTCTTTTTTACGGTTCACTGTCTTTCTTTTTTTACAACCGCTCTTTTTCTGCATATCTTCACCCGTGTATGCTGGCTTGGTGGTCTGCCAGCCACACAATGCAAGCAATGTGTTCGCCACCGGCACAATCGGATCGCGGGAAAAGCAACAGGCTCCCTACATCGACTATCTTTGCCATGAGAGTTGGATACAAAAAGACAACACCCTTATACTATCACTTGTGATTTTCAAGGGGATGTTTGGACTGTTTGATATAAACAATAACCTGAAATACCCACTATGATATAACCGGGCTCGACTGTATATTTCAATTAAGTTGGGCAATTCAGCTCAAAAGAGGATTTTTTCTATGACAATAACATACTAAAGTAACTTAAAAGCATCCATCTCTGAAGAATCCTCCTTCCACCAGTGAAACCACGACGAAAGCAGCCATTCCTAGAGAGCTTTACATCATAGCGATTAGTGTCACCACACCGCACTTAAATGCAGAACAAACTTCTCTAATCCTCTGAGACCCCTCCCAACTAGCTTCTGCAGGTGCGACACCTGTACAAGCCTTTCATTTCCGGCAGACGTGACCAGGTACAATGGGATTGCTTAGCCCACCTGCATCGTGCAGACATTGTACTACATCAAATGACAGGAGACAGACAAAGACATCTTTACAAGAGAGAAACAGACTTCAGAGGCAAAGGATGAGGTGAAAAAAGACACGCAGCTGCCAATAAAAATTGAACAGGAGCAGCTTAGTAATAATGCTCGAATCGTTTTTGCAACAAGTCGGCAATTGTTAATTACAATTAGTTTGATCATGACGATGCTCCGAGCAAAGAGTAGAGACACCACCATATGCGAGGTCACCTATCAACATTTAGGATGCATTTTGTGGGACTGGGAAGGAAATTCAGCGGTACTCGAATGACAAGAAAATGGCCAGTGCAAGGAACGACTGACGGAGAGAGCAAGCTTTCTTCACACGAAGTCTTGCCATCTGTTCAGAATTTCAAGAGATCTGTTCCAAGTTGCACGCTCCTCTCCTTCGTTAACACCCAGTTTCACTGCGAGACACGCTTTATGGGACTTTAGCTTCGGTTATAACCTGGATCCCTGAACCTAGGAAGTCTAGAACAGCATCACATGTCCCAGTTCCGTACAAACATGTGACGCGAAACCTCTTCCACTGGACCTATGTGAAGCACCTCCACACCGACATCCAGAGACATAACGTCCATTTTTAGCCCAATTTTCGCGCATTAAAAGGGGCATGCAGACAAACTATTCTGACTGACAGGTTCTGGATTCAATTGCCACTCTGTCAGGACAAACCACGTATAGGACTAGTGATGGGGCAAAACTTTTACTGGAACATATTTCAGGTGCAAAACCCAGGTTTGGGGAAGCTCCAGAAAAGGGGCCACGTATTGCGCAACCATTTCGGAGACCACATGGGTGAGCGTTACGAGAAATCTGTAAACCGTGCGAGACGATTAAAACTTTATTAAACATCCTTCATTTAATAAAGGAAGCTTCTCTCCATTACCTTCTGGAATTTTGGACGTGCGAGCCGAAGCCCACAGATGGCCACGATGGTCCAAGCAACTTTGATTTCACAAGTGCCATTATTTTTATCATAGAGCATTCATCGCACATCCTGCCTGACGAATGAAGGAGAGTCGAGCGTATAATTAACGTTTAAGTTATTCCTTTCGCCACACGGCATATCTGATATTTCATATTATATCCCTAATGTTTGTGACATCAGAACATCAGAAGCAAAGGAAGCAAGGAAGGAAGGAATTAAAATATATGGGTGAGCTAGGCCCACAACTTTCTTTCATTCACATTTTTTGTAGATCGTCCGGGATACCTGAAACTTTACGACTGTGACAGAAGCATCAATCTCGTTTGTTTGAATTCGCGAGAAAGAAATTAAAGTGTGGAGGCTTTTGATAAATTTTACAGGTTTGGTGCCAGAAGGATACCCCGTGTGCCAACTTTCCCAGCAACAATGGTGGCAAATGCAGTCAGCCAGGCTTCGTAGCGGTACGAGCTCAAAACCCGCTGGCAATGGGCTGCTTCTAAATTCCAAGTACATTTGTTTCATTTCCCCTAATGTTTGTGCTCCAACTTGTATGAAAGCTTGTTGCTGCCTACGCAAGAACTACAAACGCCAAATTAAAGTCAGGGTGAACCCTATTAAAACGTGGTAACAGTCAAAATTTGGTCACTTTCTGGAACAGTCAGACACCGAATCTCGGGCGTTTCGCCCTGTCCCTATTACGACGCCTTCGAGATTTTGGAGTCTGTCCGGCATATTTTTTTGTGGCACAGTAACCAACCGCCAAACAAGGCCGAAACTTGTCCGGAAGGTAGCCCCCAGCGATTGGGGCCACATGCAAGAGACACTTTACCCGAATCGTCGCGAGCACTTTAGGCCAGTGCCACTCGCGCAGCAATGCAAAGCAGACTACGGTCGTGGTACAGCTACAGAAGTTTGTACCGCGTCCACCACATGGTACAGTTCACAGAAGTATGACACAAAAGTTGTCTGCAGGCACGTGTACCAAGCACTTTCAACATGCCCGCAGCCAAACTCCAGCTGTCCACAGAGAATCCGACGTACGAAGGAAACCAAAGACTCAGGGGAGAGTGCCCCTGGCACCCGAGAAGGACTCCCTGGCCCAACAGTCCCTGCCAAGGGCACTCACGTTCAGGTTCGAGGTGGACGCCAGGTGCAGGCCCCGCAGCGGGGAGTTGGTCATGGACCGCAGTGGGCTGATGAAGGTCGACACGGCGCGGCTCAGCGTCCGCCGGGGGGTCGCCGTCTTGCGCGTGATGGACAGGGCACGTGACAGCTTCTCTCCCTTCCTTGCAGCATACCTGGGTGTACAAACGGCTCTTTAGGGCACCCACTTTATGCGCTAAACTCGAGCTAAAAGGGGCACCCCTGCCTCCAGCATCAGGAGCTTGACGACATATTTTGTAATAAGGGCCGGCCGAGCACTGATGCCTTCAGCACCAATGCTCAGCTAACCCTCATTACATTGTCAATGTGAGCGTCGCAAGTTCAGTCAGCTGATACTCTGACACCTAGATATTTAAGGGGGGACATGGGGATCAACCATAACTTTATCAATTTTTTAGACAACTGAATGAAATTTGGAGCACATGCTACTTACACCAGTATAAGTAACTCTGTGGAATTTTAAGTCTCTACATCCAAATGTTCCCAAGCTACATTGTCGGCAGTGCTTCCAATTGTCTCAACGCCGACGAACATGGCGCCGCCTCTAGAATCCACATCGTCGGCGGCGCTTCCGATTGTCTCGCCGACAACAAACTGGCACCGCCTCTAGCATTCACATTGTCGGCAGTGCTTCTAACCGTCTGGACGCCGACGAACATGGCGCCGCCTCTAGAATCCACATCGTCGGCGGTGCTTCCGATTGTCTCGCCGACAACAAACTGGCACCGCCTCTAGCATTCACATTGTCGGCAGTGCTTCTGATCGTCTCGACGCCAACGAACATGGCGCCGCCTCTAGAATCCACATCGTCGGCGGCGCTTCCGATTGTCTCGCCGACAACAAACTGGCACCGCCTCTAGCATTCACATTGTAGGCAGTGCTTCTGATTGTCTCGACGACGACGAACATGGCGCCGCCTCTAGAATCCACATTGTCGGCGGCGCTTCCGATTGTCTCGCCGACAACAAACTGGCACCGCCTCTAGCATTCACATTGTCAGCAGTGCTTCTGATCGTCTCGACGCCGACGAACATGGCACCGCCTCTAGAATCCACATCGTCGGCGGTGCTTCAGCTCGTCTAGCCGACAACAAACTGGCGCCGCCTCTAGCATTCACATTGTCGGCAGTGCTTCTAATCGTCTCGATGCCGACGAACATGGCGCCACCTCTAGAATCCACATCGTCGGCGGTGCTTCTGCTCGTCTAGCCGACAACAAACTGGCGCCGCCTCTAGCATTCACATTGTCGGCAGTGCTTCTGATCGTCACGACGCCGACGAACATGGCGCCGCCCCTAGAATCCACATCGTCGGCGGCACTTCCGATTGTCTCGCCGACAACAAACTGGCGCCGCCTCTAGCATTCACATTGTCGGCAGTGCTTCTGATCGTCTCGACGCCGACGAACATGGCGCCGCCTCTAGAATCCACATCGTCGGCGGTGCTTCTGCTCGTCTCGCCGACAACAAACTGGCGCCGCCTCTAGCATTCACATTGTCGTCAGTGCTTCTAATCGTCTCGATGCCGACGAACATGGCACCCCCTCTAGAATCCACATCGTTGGCGGCGCTTCCGATTGTCTTGCCGACAACAAACTGGCATCGCCTCTAGCATTCACATTGTCGGCATTGCTTCTGATCGTCTCGACGCCGACGAACATGGCGCCGCCTCTAGAATCCACATCGTCGGCGGCGCTTCCGATTGTCTCGCCGACAACAAACTGGCACCGCCTCTAGCATTCAGATTGTCGGCAGTGCTTCTGATCGTCTCGACGCTGACGAACATGGCGCCGCCTCTAGAATCCACATTGTCGGCGGCGCTTCCGATTGTCTCGCCGACAACAAACTGGCACCGCCCCTAGCATTCACATTGTCGCCAGTGCTTCTAATCGTCTCGATGCCGACGAACATGGCACCCCCTTTAGAATCCACATCGTCGACGGCGCTTCCGATTGTCTCGCCGACAACAAACTGGCACCGCCTCTAGCATTCACATTGTCGGCAGTGCTTCCGATCGTCTTGACGCCGACGAACATGGCGCCGCCTCTAGAATCCACATCGTCGGCGGCGCTTCCGATTGTCTCGCTGACAACAAACTGGCGCCGCCTCAAGCATTAACATTGTCGTCAGTGCTAATCGTCTCGATGCCGACGAACATGGCGCCCCCTCTAGAATCCACATCGTCGGCGGCGCTTCCGATTGTCTCGCCGACAACAAACTGGCACCGCCTCTAGCATTCACATTGTAGGCAGTGCTTCCGATCGTCTTGACGCCGACGAACATGGCGCCGCCTCTAGAATCCACATCGTCGGCGGTGCTTCTGCTCGTCTCGCCGACAACAAACTGGCACCGCCTCTAGCATTCACATTGTCAGCAGTGCTTCTGATCGTCTCGACGCCGACGAACATGGCACCGCCTCTAGAATCCACATCGTCGGCGGTGCTTCAGCTCGTCTAGCCGACAACAAACTGGCGCCGCCTCTAGCATTCACATTGTCGGCATTGCTTCTGATCGTCTCGACGCCGACGAACATGGCGCCGCCTCTAGAATCCACATCGTCGGCGGCACTTCCGATTGTCTCGCCGACAACAAACTGGCGCCGCCTCTAGCATTCACATTGTCGGCAGTGCTTCTGATCGTCTCGACGCCGACGAACATGGCGCCGCCTCTAGAATCCACATCGTCGGCGGTGCTTCTGCTCGTCTCGCCGACAACAAACTGGCGCCGCCTCTAGCATTCACATTGTCGTCAGTGCTTCTAATCGTCTCGATGCCGACGAACATGGCACCCCCTCTAGAATCCACATCGTTGGCGGCGCTTCCGATTGTCTTGCCGACAACAAACTGGCATCGCCTCTAGCATTCACATTGTCGGCATTGCTTCTGATCGTCTCGACGCCGACGAACATGGCGCCGCCTCTAGAATCCACATCGTCGGCGGCGCTTCCGATTGTCTCGCCGACAACAAACTGGCACCGCCTCTAGCATTCAGATTGTCGGCAGTGCTTCTGATCGTCTCGACGCTGACGAACATGGCGCCGCCTCTAGAATCCACATTGTCGGCGGCGCTTCCGATTGTCTCGCCGACAACAAACTGGCACCGCCCCTAGCATTCACATTGTCGCCAGTGCTTCTAATCGTCTCGATGCCGACGAACATGGCACCCCCTTTAGAATCCACATCGTCGACGGCGCTTCCGATTGTCTCGCCGACAACAAACTGGCACCGCCTCTAGCATTCACATTGTCGGCAGTGCTTCCGATCGTCTTGACGCCGACGAACATGGCGCCGCCTCTAGAATCCACATCGTCGGCGGCGCTTCCGATTGTCTCGCTGACAACAAACTGGCGCCGCCTCAAGCATTCACATTGTCGTCAGTGCTAATCGTCTCGATGCCGACGAACATGGCGCCCCCTCTAGAATCCACATCGTCGGCGGCGCTTCCGATTGTCTCGCCGACAACAAACTGGCACCGCCTCTAGCATTCACATTGTCGGCAGTGCTTCTGATCGTCTCGACGCCGACGAACATGGCGCCGCCTCTAGAATCCACATCGTCGGCGGCGCTTCCGATTGTCTCGCCGACAACAAACTGGCGCCGCCTCTAGCATTCACATTGTCGGCAGTGCTTCTGATCATCTCGATGCCGACGAACATGGCGCCGCCTCTAGAATCCACATCGTCGACGGCGCTTCCGATTGTCTCGCCGGCAACAAACTGGCACCGCCTCTAGCATTCACATTGTCGGCAGTGCTTCTGATCGTCTCGACGCCGACGAACATGGCGCCGCCTCTAGAATCCACATCGTCGGCGGCACTTCCGATTGTCTCGCCGACAACAAACTGGCGCCGCCTCTAGCATTCACGTTGTCGGCAGTGCTTCTGATCGTCTCAACGCCGACGAACATGGCGCCGCCTCTAGAATCCACATCGTCGGCGGTGCTTCTGCTCGTCCCGCCGACAACAAACTGGCGCAGCCTCTAGCATTCACATTGTCGGCAGTGCTTCTAATCGTCTCGATGCCGACGAACATGGCACCCCCTCTAGAATCCACATCGTTGGCGGCGCTTCCGACTGTCTTGCCGACAACAAACTGGCATCGCCTCTAGCATTCACATTGTCGGCATTGCTTCTGATCGTCTCGACGCCGACGAACATGGCGCCGCCTCTAGAATCCACATCGTCGGCGGCGCTTCCGATTGTCTCGCCGACAACAAACTGGCACCGCCTCTAGCATTCAGATTGTCGGCAGTGCTTCTGATCGTCCCGACGCCGACGAACATGGCGCCGCCTCTAGAATCCACATTGTCGGCGGCGCTTCCGATTGTCTCGCCGACAACAAACTGGCACCGCCCCTAGCATTCACATTGTCGCCAGTGCTTCTAATCGTCTCGATGCCGACGAACATGGCGCCCCCTTTAGAATCCACATCGTCGACGGCGCTTCCGATTGTCTCGCCGACAACAAACTGGCACCGCCCCTAGCATTCACATTGTCGCCAGTGCTTCTAATCGTCTCGATGCCGACGAACATGGCACCCCCTTTAGAATCCACATCGTCGACGGCGCTTCCGATTGTCTCGCCGACAACAAACTGGCACCGCCTCTAGCATTCACATTGTCGGCAGTGCTTCCGATCGTCTTGACGCCGACGAACATGGCGCCGCCTCTAGAATCCACATCGTCAGCGGCGCTTCCGATTGTCTCGCTGACAACAAACTGGCGCCGCCTCAAGCATTCACATTGTCGTCAGTGCTAATCGTCTCGATGCCGACGAACATGGCGCCCCCTCTAGAATCCACATCGTCGGCGGCGCTTCCGATTGTCTCGCCGACAACAAACTGGCACCGCCTCTAGCATTCACATTGTCGGCAGTGCTTCTGATCGTCTCGACGCCGACGAACATGGCGCCGCCTCTAGAATCCACATCGTCGGCGGCGCTTCCGATTGTCTCGCCGACAACAAACTGGCGCCGCCTCTAGCATTCACATTGTCGGCAGTGCTTCTGATCATCTCGATGCCGACGAACATGGCGCCGCCTCTAGAATCCACATCGTCGACGGCGCTTCCGATTGTCTCGCCGGCAACAAACTGGCACCGCCTCTAGCATTCACATTGTCGGCAGTGCTTCTGATCGTCT